GGAAGTGTTTTACTTATACCGAGCAAAAATAACAGGAAATTAATTAATATCGTAGGGTGTTGGATTAATCCTGTTTTCCTCTTTCACCCAGCGCCTGCTTGCGCGTATGGGAAACACTAGAAGAGAGAAGGGGGAGAAAATAGGAGAGAGAGAGAGAGAGAGAGAGAGAGAGAGAGAGAGAGAGACAGACAGACAGACAGACAGACAGACAGACAGACAGACAGACAGACAGACAGACAGACAGACAGACAGACAGACAGACAGACAGACAGAGATGGAGAGGGAGAGAGAGTCAAGAAGAGAGAGACAGAGAGGGGAGGGGGAGACAGAGAGAGAGAGAGAGAGAGAGAGAAAGAGAGAGAGAGAGAGAGAGAGAGAGAGAGAGAGAGAGAGAGAGAGAGAGAGACGGAGACGGAGACGCAGACGGAGACGAAGACAAACAGATAGGAACAAGGAAAGGAAAGAAAGAAAGGAGGGGGAAAGAGAAAGCGTGTGTGTTGTAATTTGAATTATACTGTGTTCATATTATTGTACTTGTATTGCGTATTATGAGTTCCTGGCAGAGCAGTTTTACTTTTGTACCATACCATCCGGGTTATATATTTCAAATACGAGCAATTTCAGGCTGATCACACCTCAAGCAGAGCTAGTGAACATATTTCATAAAGTTCTCCTTGGCACTATTTGATGAGCGCATAATTATTACTCTTACTTTACAAAAAGATATTCCACACTTGAACGCAGTCAACTTTGTCATCCAATATTTTCTACCTCACAACTTCCCTATATCTCCGCTCATATTTAGCCTACGTACATAGAATAAACACCAATCCGAGAAGAAAGGACATATCCTGCAATAAAAGTAGTTCTGTTTTCAACTAGATGGATTTAATGCCGTTTCGTATATTTTTGTTATGGCTGCAAACAACAGAGCGCTGCTATGCCCCAGGTTAATGAGAACAAGGTGGAAGATCTCAGTGTCACAATCCAATTGATTAATTTTAAAAGTGCGTTAGGTACAAATCATAAAGGAGACTCGGCAAGTTCAACAATTGAGAATGGAATGTTAGGAAGTGGGCATGTCAAAACGGACTGCGGTCAGTCTACAGGTGTCACCATTGTCAAAAGTTGCGCACGGAATGACACAGCCCTACGACGCTGTGAAAAAATAACGACTTGGCCATACTTTTAAGTCTGTTTTTTTTTTAAAGAATGTTGAACAGAACAGAATGTTTTTCCATTTCCGCTTGGTCGACGCTGTCAGGATGTTGTTCAAGCAAGTCAGCGCGGCATTCTTTGGGCATAAAAGTCGACATCCTTTAAACAATGTTCGAATATTTAAACGACGTGACTACCGCTCTCACGTCCATCTCTGATAGCATCGAGTCGTGGCTGGAAAGCCGTTGAAACAGCCCAAGTATATCCAAACTTTAAGAATGCTTTTAAAAATTCGTAAAAAGGGCCATCTACCTCCAAGGCGAGCAAGACGCAAACTGGAGCCATAGAGCGTGATCATCATGTGGAGTTTTAGTCATAGGTAGAGATCTAGTACTGTCGCCTTTGTGCGTCTTGGCAGTCGATCTTTAAAGCAGTTGGCATGTGGAGACCAAACACAGAAAGTACACATCTTTCTAAATGTGGCTGGCTTGGTTTCCTGACAGGATGCCGCGGCGAGAGGAAATGTTCCAGGAAGATCCACAGTAATGTGGACACCACTCTCTTCCATATGTCAACATATGATGAACAGGGATTACGTCAGGGTACACAGTTTTGATTATCATAATATAAGTCAATGGTCACAACTAACTGAAAAAAACGTGTAAAGATTGGCCACGGATGATCATTGAACCTTTGACTATTTTAAACAACATATAAACACAAAGTAGAGAAGATCTGAAGGTATAATGAACGACCCGTTTTTACGAAACTGGGTACGGCTGCACCAAAAAGGAAGACAACAGTCAGTCACCAAGTATGATGACATAAGCGTACAAATCGGCCTCGGGGCAAGAGAAAACCCAGAAAAAGGTGGATTGAAGGGGGTAAAGGACATCTCAGAAGCTCTCAATTTCCGGCTCCAGGAAGCTTTCCAGTTCGCCAAGTCCCGACGTTTCTACTTCCTCGTGACACCACACGGTAGAAGCGGTATATAGAATGGAGTATTTGCTCTTTAAACTATGCTATATTTAGTCGCTTCCATCAGAGCAAATGTGCACCAATGCATAGGTCGAGAGATAGAGCAAGTCCGCTTTCCTAACACCAAGTTTCCCAACACCTCGTTGGTGAGATGCCATTCATATTTCACAATCTCCCTGGTGAAGGAATGGAAGAATTGTAGCGTACATACCACTCTAATCGGACTCTCTGGCTTCCATGAATACACAAAAAAAATGTTGCAAAGCGGTTCTGACAAAAAATTTAGGGACAGAAAGGGCATAACCGATAAATAGGTTAGTCGCAACCATACACATAATTTTGTAATATGTTATGGAAGACTTTAGCACTGTTATGGCCGCCGCTCCTTTTTCGATATTAAAAAAAATCTTTGCTCATGTGTGCACCGTAGGCGCACAATTAATGAAGGGCATAACCAAAGATAGTACATAACAAGATGGTCCACTCAGCCAAAAAAAGTGTCCGCGGAAGTCCGCTCATTGCTTCAGATGGAGCTGCAGTCTTTGTTTTGAAGCTCTCTTTCGTTTCTCCAGAAGAAGAATAGGAATAGCACCCCCTTGCGTGCGCAGATCGACTGCTGTTCATCAGCTGTTCGGGTTCGCTCAATGCCGGGTTTTAGATTTTTAAAATTTTTATTGACCTCTCGCATTTTATTCTAAAGTCAAATGAAACGAAGAAAACAGAGGTTTTTTGTCAGCGTAAGCATTTTTTAAAAAGCGTTCCTTCGAAATCTGAATTCTAATTTATTCAAAAACTTGTTAGTTTCAATTTGATTTTTTCACACAAGTAGGGTAACTCTGTTCGCAAAGGGTACTCTTTTTCGAAGAGGACGCCACTGGATTTTGAGGACGCTTTTTTAACTGGCTCAAAGAGAGGTATAATGAGTGACCCATTTTGGCGAATAAAGTGCACGAGACAACATTTTTAAAGCGTGGAAAAAATGTTATAGGTCCTGTGTTAATTCGAAACTATTTCCCAATATCGTATTGCATAATACCCCGCCATTTCACTTCGGGCCCTGGGGATGCCCCTTGGGAGATACGCTTTATACTGGTATTTCTCTTTTTAAAAGTTTATTATATCGAATAAGAATTATAGTTTTAATTATTTTCATTTTGTTCAATTCAATTTTCTTTTTGCTCTCTCTCTCTCTCTCTCTCTCTCTCTCTCTCTGTTTCGTGTATACTGCTTTTGTTATCCTGTGGTGTTCACTGGTTCCAACAATGGTGTCCCAGCTGCTATTGGATTTCTTCTGTCAACCCAATTTCCGGTTTGAAAAACGTGTGTGTGTGTGTGTGTGTGAGAGAGAGAGAGAGAGAGAGAGAGAGAGAGAGAGAGAGAGAGAGAGAGAGCTAGTGTTGGTTCCTTTACCCTTTCTCTCTTTCTAACGAAATTTCTCTTTTACTTTCATCAATGTCCCTGTTTCTTCCCACTCTAATCTTTCTCTCCCACTCACCACCCTATCTTTCCATCCTTCTCTCTTTCGCTCTCTGTCTGTCTGTCTGTTTGTCTGTCTGTCTCTGTCTGTCTTTCTGTCTGTCTGTCTGTCTGTCTATCTGTCTGTCTGTCTGTCTGTCTGTCTGTCTCCCCCTCTCTCTCTCTCTCTCTCTCTCTCTCTCTCTCTCTCTCTCTCTCTGTTTCGTGTATACTGCTTTTGTTATCCTGTGGTGTTCACTGGTTCCAACAATGGTGTCCCAGCTGCTATTGGATTTCTTCTGTCAACCCAATTTCCGGTTTGAAAAACGGAAGGAGTATCCCATGCCATGTTTAAAAATGTTTCAGACCAGATCCAGTGACAAACTTGGTGACTAATGATACAGAATAGAGAATGTTTATTATCATGTCTTATTACCTAGATTTCAGTTACGACAAAGGGTTAGTTTTTTTTCTTTTTAATCGGGATATGAAGACAAAAATGTGCTTACCTCCACTTGCTAACCATTAGATTCCAATGGCATACGGTCAAAAAGTGTTGCGGTTTTTTGGAACACACGAGAAGTTAAACTACGCTCAGCACATAAAACGGAAAAACATTTTTTTTTAAAGAAACAGAACATTTTCGAGTTGCTGACAGAAAGATTTCATTCATTGCTGTTAACTCTTTGAAGACATAGCGGAGACATACGTCTGAGAGCAGCAGACCACCAAAGGCACTGTTGTTACTGCACTTTTGAACTATCGTACACTCATCCGAAATATGAATTTGCATTTTTGATAGTATCCATGCCTTTAAGAAAAGTTTCAGATTTTTTAAAAAACCCAACCGATTTGGACAGTAGATTCTATTTAGAAATAAGGAAATCAACTATGCCACTTTTTAAAAGTGACATCATAGAACTCTTACTCGTGGGTGTTTTTTTTTTAAGCTTCTAGTTATTGGTGTCGAAAAAAAATGCTTGTCACTTGTTTCATAATCTTAGCATAGCAGGGTTTTGTTTTTAAAAACAAACACACACAAAAACAAACAATAATCCAATTATTGAGTCAAGTTAACTTTTGTTCAAATTGGTAAGTACTGATTTTTTTTTCAAGTTTAACAAAACCGCGGGGGTGGGGTAGGGCGACATATGGCGGTTATGCTATAATTGTGACTGTAAAGTCAAGAATTGAAAGAATCCCCCCCCCCCCCTCAACAACTAAAGGTTGAAAAAGCCTGCCCAACTAAATCCACAGCAAAACTGCTGTTTTTATTGTTGTCCACAATATAATCATATATGATATAATAATTTTGTTTTTTGCGTTTCTTTACTTTTGTTTTGGGGACCGCTTCAAGCCTCCTCGGGACGACTGTGCCTTTCCTCACCCGTTCATGAACTCTTTTCCAGGAAGTTGTCAATCCAAGCCCATTGTGGCAGTACATGCCCCCCTTCACGCCGGGTCAGAGTCAGGTCGAACAAAAAGTACCTCAACGTCAACTGCGACAGCAACTGCCACTGCAGCAGCAACAACAGCAGCAGCAACAACCGCAGCAACAGCAACAACCACAGCAGCAGCAGCTGCTGCAGCAACAGCAAACAAATCCTCAGCAAGTGCAGCTGCAACAACAACCGCAACCAATCCAGGTAGAATCTCTTTTTCTCTCTGTTCTTTTTCCCTACCTTTTCTCTCCTTCTCTCTTTGTCTCTCTCTCTGTCTCTCTCTCTGTCTCTCTCTCTCTCTGTCTCTCTCTCTCTCTCTCTCTCTCTCTCTCTCATTCTCTCTTCCTTTCTTTCTCCCTTTTTTCTCTTTCTCTCTCTATTCTCTTCTCGTCCTCTCCCTCCCCCCATGTCTGCAGTGTGTGTATGTGTGTATGCAGGCCTGTCGAGAGGGGGGGTCAGGGGAGGCCAATGCCCCGGGGCCCGGGGGTTTGGGGGGCCCTCAAGCAAGGGGAAAAGAGAGAGAAAAAAGAGAGAGAAAGAGAGAGAGAGAGAGAGAGAGAAAGAAAGAGAGAGAGAGAGAAAGAGAGAGAGAGAGAAAGAGAGAGAGAGAGAGAGAGAGAGAGAGAGAGAGAGAGAGAGAGAGTACGGTACAAAGCTTTGAAATAAAAGATGCTGCAAGTTGAGCTGTATATCTGACAACTTCACAGAACTTTGGTAGTGCTTTCTTGGACTTCTGGAAATGATTGGCCATTATGATCCTCTCCTTGCAGAGCATCTTACAAAAGTTGAACAATCAAAAAAAAAAAAAGAAAAAAAGGCGCCTACAAGTTCACTATCTATCACCAGAAAGTCAAAATGAATTCATCCAAAGTTGTGCATCAAAAGTGACAGGCGTGATTTTGAATGAAAGAGCGGAACGAAATATTACTCCACTAATGTTGATGCAACACCAGACTCTTCACACGTCGAACAAACTGTTTTTATTTTGCGTTATGTTCTCTTGGACAGTGATGCAAATGTCTATAAAGTAGAAAAGAGATTTCTGAAATGTGTAGATTGTAACTAGAAAACAGGAGAAGACATCGCTAAAATTATCCTTGATACACTGAATAAAAAAACCAAAACATTCCAATTACAGACTGCCGAGGCCAAGGCTACAACAACGGTAGCAACATGTTGTGTGGTCTGTATAATGGTGCACAGGCTCACATTTTAAGACAGTGATCACTTGCCACATGCTCTCCCTGTGGCTATCATAGTTTGAATTTGTGTGGCGTGCATTCTGCAGAAAGCTGTTCAACAGTCATAATTTTCTTTAGAGTTGTACAGAAGCTGTATAACACTTTTAGTTCCAGTCCTCAAAGGTGGGAAATTTTGAAGCAAAACATCCCCAGCTCTTTGCACAATATGTCTCAGACACGTATGTCAGCACGTGTTGACAGTATCAGGCCTTCTGCGGCTCACTTCGGAGGACTGAGAAAAGCTGTTCAAACTGTTCTTCAAATGAACCTCCCCCCAGAAACACGTTCAGATTTGACTGGTATTCTTAAGTACTTGGCATCATTTGAATGTGTGATAATGGCACTCGTTTGGCTCAAAATCCTCACAGCAATCGATCACTGAAATAGAGTGCTTCAAGCACGAGAAGCAACTCTTTACGTTGAGGTGGCAAATATCAATAGTCTGATTAAAGGTTTGAAAAGCTTACGAGATTAATGGGACGCAATCTTGAGTGAGTCCAAATTAGTAGCAGATAACTATGAGATTGAGCATTCATTAGCCGAAACAGCAAAACGACAAAAGAAAAGAAAGCTTTTTGCAGACGAGACAGAAGATGTAACAGACTACCAAAATCCCGAGAACAAATTCAAACATGAAGGGTTTTTTTTATGTCCCCATTGAATGCAGTGACAAAACTCAATTCGTTATTTAGTGTTTTGTGGAAATATCTCCAAGAGGAAGTCGGTTTTATTCGCGATCTTGCAAAAAAATTGCACGCGGAATATGAAGTGGATGCATCAGCAGACCGTGCGCAAGAGTTAGAACATTTGAAAGTGATTCATTTAGCGAACATTGGAGAAAATATCCTGCCGCATCTTCAGTTGCTGAACAGCCTTATTACCTAAAACTGGATGCTTTGTTTCCAAACGTTGTTATCATGTTGAGAATCTTCTGCACCTTGCCTGTCACAGCTGCGCTAGCTGAACGTTCCTTCAGTACCCTTTCTCGGGTGAAAAACATTTTGTGGTCCTCAATGCGCCAAGACAGACTCACAAGTCTTAGAATTTTGGCCATAGAGGCCAGTCTAGCGCGAAAATTGGACTACGAACCAATAATTGACAGTTTTACGAGAGCTAAATCCCGTAAGGCTCCGTTGTTGTAAGAAAAAAAGGTATACTACATTGCAATTTATTTTAATTTCTGTCATTGGTTTATTCATCTTACCTTCATTTTTAACTACCCGGTAAATCAGAAAAATTAAAATTAATTTTATGTTGACAACTCCGAGCACTTGATGGAGGGGGACGAGACAAA